TGAGGGTTGCGATCCCGTTGCCGGTCCCCGGCCCGGTACGGGGGCAGCACTGAGGGTTGCGATCCGTTGCCGGACAGGGAAAAAAGACAAAAGACAAAAAAAAAAAAAAAAGCAGCCAGAAGTTAACCATATGATGAAGTCAGGTAAAAATTAGTTCAGGCTCTTGGCAGGAATACATACAGCGAAGGGAGCCATGCAGGTCTCAGAGGCCACACTGGGGGTTCTGAATTTTTGCTAAGAGCAATGGGAAGTTGTTGAATGGTTCAATGTAAAGGGGGTAACCTGATCAGTTTGGAAAAGAGGGTGCTGGAGAGGAGCCAGAAGGGAAGAAGGTGTACCAATGAGAAGTCTACTGCAGTCACCAAGCAGGAGAGCATGGTGACTCAGACTAGAGTGGAAGCTATGGAAAAGGAGAGAAGTGTGTATATTTGAAAGGTATTTAACAAATAAAATCAGCCCGGCTTAGTGGTGGACTAGACACAGACAATGAAGGGAATGGGAGTGTTGTGGAATTTGATGGATGGTGGTAACTTCACTGAGATGGGACCTCAGGTTGTGGGACAAGATGAATTTGTGGTACCATCTATGTCCAAGCAAAGATTTAATGTGGGATAAGAGTCTGGAGCTCAAAGCAGAGAAGTGGGTTAGAGATACAAATCTGGGAGGCAGAGGCATTTAGATGGCAATTGTAACCTGAGAAGGGATAAGAAGAGAACTGGGCCTAGAACTAAGCTTGGGGAGGCTCAACAGTTAGTGAAAATTGAAAAGATTCATGTTACTTTTAATGGAAATGAAATTGTCCAGACTTTGGGGGATTCCTGAAGTTCTTCAAATATCTAATAGTCAAGGGTCTAGCTGCCTCACCCCAGGCATAATGTTTTGCTCATAGCAGGAACCTAAAATAGTTCACTAAAAAAAATAAACCAACTTCTAGTTAAAGAAAAGGAGTCACTGGTTAATGGTACATATGATTGCTCATTTCTCAATAGCAGTTAACTTAAAAACATTGAGAGCCAATGCTTACTAATTAGGAGTTTTCTCATTTGGGCTTAGAGATTGTAAATCTATAAATAGTGCATGCCTCTGTACATGTGCACACACACATTTTCCTACCATTTAACAGGCAATATACATTGGGGAAAAAAATACAATTTTCACCCTACCATTGTCAAACATTAACTATGTATTTTTAAATTAATGCTAAATTTAAAAAAAAATCCACATGCTGGGATTTTCCATCATCCCATTAACATAAGCAATCATGAGCTGACACTGGGGACCCTCTTCAAGGTACCATCTTCCTTTCCTCTCTTGCTTATGGTGGGACTGAAGAATATTTGGAAAGGAGTTTATTGGTCTAGCAAATCTTTTACCTCTTCTAATCAGCTCATTTCTAGCAATGAGCACACAGTCCCACCGGACATACTTTTAAGTGTCCTGGAAAACATCTGAATTCACTCCCCCTGTGGTTGACTTCAATTAGCTGCCTTTCTGCATAAAGAATAGTTATGCAATTGTGACAACAAAGTATGCTACATTGTAATTTTAGGATGGAAGCTTTCCTGATTCTCATTCTGTTGCGATATTACATCATCACTTCCATAATTCTGAAATATTCTTGAGTATTAGCAGTGCTGCAGAGAAGAAAGACTTTGTAAAACTGCTGGCAGTGTACCATGAAGAATGGGAGCAATGTAGAACTGAGCGCTCTCTCATATGTAGAGTGAGGGAATCCACCCAGAAGAAACAAGGGGTTAGAAGCTAATCAATACATTTAATGACTGATTACTAAATTTAAGGCTGTTAGCCCAGAAAACAAAATAACTTGAAAAAAAATCCCAACATCAGACTACTCATATCCTCAGCAGAAAAACTTGTCTGTCTTCATCTCTGTAGCTCACCAACACCTAGCACAGGTCTGACTGGTGCATAATCGATACACGACAAAGATCTGTCACATTAAGTGTACTAACAACCAGAGAGCATTTACAATCTATGAACTTTTCACACCTTACCTAATATCAGCCTTCCACCTCGTGAACTGGCTACTGTAATACGCTTTTAGAAAACTAAGGCTCAGAAAAGTTAAGAAATTCACCCAAAATCACATGGTAGATAAAGCCAGGATTGGATTGCAGATATGCTTGACTACAAATCTATGCTTGACTGCAAATCTATGCTTTACCCACTATATTTATTCATTGATACAACAAAGATTTACAGAAATCCTACAGTCTTCTCAGTATTGTGCTAGATACAATATTACAAGGACAGAGAATGCCTAGTCCCTGCCCCCAAGGAGCTGGTAATCTGGTGAGGGAAAGCAGACATGGAAACATCTAACTAATACTAGAACTGAGGATGAACAAAGTGCTATTAAGAAGCATGCAATGGAGGGTGCCGTTAGATCTGCCTGACTAGAACTCAGGAAGATTTTCAATGGCAATTTGAAAAAGAATTTATTGCTCCAAACGCACCCTAAGCTAGGCCCTGAGTGGGGATGGCTTGCAG